GTAAAGCTCAACGAGGTTCTTCTTGTACGTAGTCCATTTCCCATCCTTCGGTCGAGCTTCCTTAACTTCCCTACCGAGACTTGGGTCCACATTAAATAAGAAGTTCTCTATAATCTCTTCCTCCGACCACTGACTTCGGTTGGCGTGAAGCTCCCACTTCTCCAGATATTCTGTGATACCATAGCCCCTAAAGGTAGGAGGCTCTGAGGCCTTGTGCGTAATAATATAGCGATCCTTGCTCTCGTAAGGGAGCGGATGTGACTCCCCTGTCTGGGGGTCGAAGACACGCCTGGGCGGCGCCCTGTCTCTATCTCTGTCCCTCCAATAGGAATCCCTCAAACTATCTCCTAAGTCGTCTATGTGCCTGTCCGCTATGGTGTCCCTCCGCTCGTACTCGGGGGAGCGTCGCCTCGTCGCTTCTCGTCGTCCAGTCGAGGTATCCGTCTTTAGAGCCTCCTGCGGCTCTGTCGCAACTGGTTTGCCTCTTACGTCGGACCCTCCGTCATTGGTTTGGTCAGCCCATCTCAGCGGTGCTTCTTGGCTAATTCGTTCCTTCAGATCCCTTAGAGCTCGATCGGGCGATGTCCTGTACTCCTCTCCCGCTTCGCTCATGGTCGGTTGTGGCCCCATTGTGTCGGGTTCCATTGGACCGCCAGAAGACGCAGTTAGGTATTTTTGCCAACTGTTACAGCCCAACCCTATGACAGTCGTTACAGTCCGGACCTGTTTCCTTGTCACGGCTCGCGTCCGCCTCCAATCTTAGCTCTCGACTGCCTTGATTACCACCTCAAGTATCCCGTACCGGTCGCAGATCTCGTGTTCTCCCTCTATCCCAAGAATCCCGTGTCTAAGTAAACCTCTCCTTCAGGATTGGCCAACAAGGCCGTGCCTCTCCGGATTTGCAGTACACCCGTGACACCCCTCAAGAGTCTCCGAGCGTCTTTCTCCGTCCTCCTAGCCCTGTCCTGAATCGGTTAGCCCGCTAAAGGCCCTCCTATTGCCATCAAAAGTCGCCCATCGACCTTTCTAGCTTCCATTATCCTTCCAAGAGCTTCCAATTTCTATTTCCACTACCTTATCTCCCGGAAGGCTACAAGGTCATCTGTCTAACAGCTGAGGTAAGTTAGTGCTATAACCACTTGTAACCTCATCGCCGACCGCTCCAATATGTCATAAAATGTCTCAAAGTTCTCCTTATCTCCACCCTCCTCTATCGCCTCTAAAGTCTTTATCGATTCCTTCCAATACCGGTCGTGAGCGGCTAACACCCTGAGTATTGCACCATCTTTTACAACTCTTTCTAACTCTCCTGCTTTTCCGGCTTCGCTTATCTTCAACCTCTCAGCCTCTCTGGTCGTCTCGTACCATGCCCTTATCCGAGACCGCCCTCCGGACACGCCGCTGTTCGCCCTGGTCCCTGTTGTCTGCCACAATCCCCCTGGACCCTCTGGTCAATCCTCTACTCCCTGTGCCTTTGTTTTCGGGCCTCTTGAGACGATTCTTCAGATATAATAATTAGACATAAAAAGTTAGACACGTGTCACGCCTGGAGACAATAACCACCCTCAGGATAGGCTAAGATCATCGCTCCGACTTCAATCCGTCCCACCAGATGTTCGCGCGTTGATGACAGAATTCAACAACTGATCAGCACCGTAGATCAATCAGTGTCATCAACAGCGATTCTTCCCTTTTCTCTTCGCCCCAGGATGATAAAGTACAAGCATAGCGTTGAGAGCATCCTTCGCGGATGATGATGATGATAATAGATGATGATGATGATGATGATGCCGACGATGGTATTCCGGCGGGCCTTCTGCTGTAGCTGCTGCTGAGGTCGTCGATGGTAATGTGATTCTCATCAGATAGGTTTATCTTTTCTCTTTAATTGACATTCCAATTCCCAGCAAAGTGTCGCAAGGTACCTCCCAAAGAGAGCATTGCGATTTTTCCGCTAAGTGAAATCGGTGTTTCCTAATGTGTGGCCCAAACAGGCAGCTACCAGTTCCCGCCTAGCCCTGACATGTTGGAAGTCGGAGCAAGATACACAAGGTTAATTGGCTGACCGATTATTGATTAACTCTACAGTTGATTATCGAGCTGGTCTCTCCAAGTCCCCTCCTCCTCTCTCCTCTTCTCGCCTCATCTTCCGCCCGTTCGTTCCTCCCCTCACGCACGCGGAGTAACTGCCCGAGCGTGGATGCTTTTCCCCTGTGCTTGTTGTCGCGGGAACACCTTGCTCGCGCTCAGCTCTCTCCTCGCTCCCCGTGTATCCGTATGAGAGCCGATGTCCTCCTCCCGGAGCTTGCTTGCACTCCGCAATAGCTAGACGCTAGGGACACCTGGCATGCGATCCGCCACAATGCCTGCTCCTTCTCCTATATCCCCCTCCGTCCAAGTCTCGGCCTTGTATTCACGCAGGACGCTCAAAGAGGGCCACAGTCCGTCGTTGTTCCAAAATCGCTCGGGGCTGGCCCCCGGTCAATTGCAGCCCCAGGCACCCCCGACCGCGCCTGCCTGATGTCCATTCCCAGTTCAGTAGACTGGCGTAGTGGTCCCAAAGCTGAAATAAAGCGCCATAGTGATACCAAACGTGGAATAAATGGCCGCAGTGACGGTGCCGAGCCTGGGTTAAATACCCGTGATAACGCCGAACCTGGAATAAACTGCCGCCAACGTCTCAAATCTGAAATGAACTACCGCAGTCGTCTAAGACCTGAAAATGAATCACCGCAGAGGTTCCGAACCTGAAATAAATCGTCACAGTGGTCCCGGACCTAAAAATAAATCACCGCAGAGGTCCYGAACCCGAAATAAATCRTCGTGAGGGCGTCGAACCTGAAACGAAACACCACGATGCCACYGAACCTKACCAGACCYAAAATCCAGTACCGGGCTGCTGTGCCACGAGGATGCCGAACCCGTACAAYCATGCCATGATAATTCCATAACTGTCCCGAACCTGATATACAATRYCRCAACGTTTCCGAACCTGAAAACAAACTGCCGCCAAAGTTCCAAACCTGGAATAACTGTTGTAGTAGCCCCGGCCCTGAGAATAAATCACCGTACCTGTCCCAAACCTGAAAATAAGCCACCGTAGTGAAACAAYTGTCACCGSGCCCATACCGCACCTGAAGCACGCCAGACACCGTAGTACGAAGCCACTCCGTAACAACCCTCGTATCCGTACTGAACCAAACACCATAGTCGACCCAAGGTAGCACCACCCCATGCTGTCCATGCGACTCCCGCTCTCAGAACAYCCCAAATRCGRTAATGTTAGTAATCAAGCAAACCAGGGAAAGMGACGCAGGGAACCTCGACCATCGGCAGTAGTGAAAACTGTTAAAATCCGGGGAAAATGTTCAATCCGGGGTCAKAGCTWATGGCGGGTAATCGACGCRAAATTAKRCCAATCTCCWAATAATCATGGGTTCCCGTCCCTTTCATCATTTTTCATCATTCTTCCCTTTCCTTAATTCTATTGTTGGAAATAGTAAATTAACCGTAAGATCCCCAAAATAAAATTCCGAGAAAGTTTAAATAAATGGCCGAATTCCTTTTGTTTCTTTTCTTTTTTACCATTTATAGTTTTTTTCTATGTTTTTAATTTCATTGCCGGTAACATAAAATAAAAGGGGTATTCCCCCTTGAATTAAATGTCGTAAAAAATAAAGAAATTAAGGGATATTATGTTTTTTCCTTCTCCCCTACTGGTCGTAATCCCTTTTCCCCATCTTTAATTATGGTACTAAAATAGACAAAAATTTGAGCCTCATTTCGGCCCCGGTCATATGCCGCAAAAAATGTGGCTGCGAGGTCAGTTCCCGCGATGCCTCCCCGCGGCAGGCCAATCCGGGTCTAACCCTCTGAATGGTCGGAAATGACGGTCCGTTGATGTGCCGAGTGCGACCACCCATCTTGCCATCCTTGAGGGTTGCCTGTAAGGTTCAGCGCGCCCAAAATCAAGGGCGCCCTGAGCTCCCCTAATTTCCGCTGCCTGGTCTCGTCAAAACTCAGACTCGTCTTTGCGCCTAAGTCCCAAAACCATACATTTCAGGCGGCGCACTGCTTGTGGCTGCCTGACACCGTTACGGCTGTCGTCTTGAATAGCATGAGCGAAATGTCGTCCTTCAACCGCGACATGCGTTTGCAGCTTCGTAAACGGAAAACACTCTTGCAGAGCGTTGTGGAAGCGTTGGATTGTGTGGCGACATGTGAAGCTGGAGTGCATATGTGTAACGCTCTCGACTCTGGCGTTTTTCCACGCTAGACACCGCGTTGGTGGATCAAACGACGCACTGGCGGGACATGGGAGGAACTACCTCTGTGTGACGACTCCACAGGGGGCTACTACAAGGAGAATCTGCGTATGTCGAGGGCGATGTTCAACCAGATTGTAGCCGCCTGCGCCGCGCACGTCGAGAAGATTGTCACGCACTACAGAATGCCGCTGCTAGTCGAGCAGGTAATCGCTTTCGCGTTGTACAGATGGGCATCGGGGGAAACGTACGAGAGCGGGACGTCAGCCTTCGGTATCGACAGGGCGACCGGCCTGCAGGCCGTCCGCGACGTCACTGCGGCGCTGCTAAACGCCTACCCCGACGCGATCAAGTGGCCTGCTGGGCGTAGACGTGCGCAGATTCTATGCGCGTTCCGGGATAAGGGTTTCGCGAACTGCTTCGGCGCCATCGATTGCACCCATATCTACATTGACAAGCCAGCAGGAGCACCTTCCATCAACTACTACGACCGCAAACAGAAGTTCTCTGTCCAAGCGCAGGTCGTCGTCGATTTAGATTTGCGTATCCTGGACGTCCACGTCGGATATCCGGGAAGTGTCCACGACGTCCGTGTACTGCACAATTCCCATCTGTGGAGGCGTGCAGAAAGCGGCGACCTTTTCGATGCACCTCCGGAGAATCTCCCACACGGTGTGGTAACGCGAGGTTACCTGCTGGGCGACAACGGTTACCCGGTTGCGTGTCCATGGATCATCCAACCGTACGGAGGAATCTTCCAGGGTCCTGACGAAGAGCGTTTTGACACGCGGCAGAAGGTGGCGCGGGGATGTGTGGAGCGGGCGTTTGGGCGACTGAAGTGCATGTGGCGTCTCTTTTTGCGCACCCACAAGACGAACCTTCAAACCTTGCCACAACAATTCGTGGCCGTGTGCACTCTCCACAACATCCTGCTGGACGAGGGTGTTGATTTCGACAAGAACCTTCTGTGGGAGGTTGACGAGAACGGCGTTCGGCGGAGAGTCGACTTGGGCATTGTGGGGAACGGCGGTGGTGGGCGGCGGCAGTGCACCAACGTCGACGACGACTTGTTGCGGGATGCGCTTCGAGACCGCCTGGCTTTAATGTAGATGCACGCAGAAGAACACGGGGATGGTCGGATTGGACGAAGGGGGTCGGTAGGAAGGAGGAAGGGGGGGGGGGCTAGGGGGGGGGGCTCAGCTTGTTAGGTGGTCTGTGTAGAGCAGTGCTGCGTTTTTGTAGTGTTTCTCAAGCTCTGGGATGTTTAGCGTCGTCGTTCCACTTGCATTCCCCTCCCCTCCCGTGTGGCGGTTTGTTGGCCCCAACTAAGTTCATGTCGCGCGCGAAGTCGCATTGTAGCCTGTGACGCCGCCTGGTAGTCGGCATTGTAGGCGTCAGTCGTTTTGGAAGTTTCGACGGCGGGGAGAGCAGTAGGGTGTGTAGCTCTGCATTTTGGTTTTGGTGTGCTTCGTGCACTTGTTCGACGTTTTAATATGTGGACAACCTTTTTTTTATGATGTTAATTTTGGTTTTTTTTTTTTTGCCGTTCTACGAACCTCTGTTCTGTCCATCTTCAATTGTTTGAGGTCTCTCAATGAGTGGCACCCATTCCGTTCACTTTTGATATCTGTGGAATTGCTAGCAATGCAGGCATTCAGATTGTATGTCCATGTTGTTCATCTTCAACGTCATAACTCTCAAGCAAACAGATTGCATGGCCAAACTCTTCTTCTTCAATGTCATGTTTTCTGAAGCGAACGTAATGGTATGTTGGGCCGGCGTGAAAAAAAAAAAAAAAAAAAAAAAAAAGACGCTTTGGGTTTTCCTTTCATGTACATGCATTTGGAAACCAACGGAAAAGGGGATAGAATATAATACATGCAAAAGAAGTATAACATGAAAGATGGCAAACAAAGCACAACCCATTCGTGAGAAAAGGACATCGCATTGAAAACGCATCGTAGCAACAAAGAACACATATCGCATCGACATGGCTTCTGAATGGTATTGTTCCCCAAATGATCACGAAGACAGCGTCGGAAGATTGAACGTGCACCGCTAATTGTGGAATACATGCCTTCCGCAAACACCACTGCTAAACCAAAGCACGTCATCCGCCATCTCGCAAACAGATGTCGCCTTACCAAAAAAAAACAAAAAAAAACGACAAGTAGAAGCACATATCTGCTGCAGCATCCGTCATCGCGCGAACAGATGTCGCCTTGCAAAAAAAAAATACAAAGAAACGATAAGCAGAAGCAGATATCTGCAATAACACGAAAAGACCCTTGTTGAACCGATCGCACTTTCGAGTCCACTGTATTTACAACGTCGAGCAGCGCCCTGCTCGACCAAAAACAAACACAAAAAAGTGCCTTGCCCGCGCCACCTCCGACGGGTCATCATCATCATCATCATCATCATCATCATCATCATCATCATCATCATCATCATCATCATCATCATCATCGTCATCGTCATCATGACAATAGCCATCGACGTCATTATCACCATCATCATCATCATCATCATCATCATCATCATCATCATCATCATCATCATCATCATCCTCGCCATCGTCGTCATCATCATCATCATCGTCGTCATCGTCGTCATCGTCATCATCGTCGTCATCGTCGTCAGCGTCGTCATCATCGACGTGTGGGTAGCGTTGTCGAATGGGGCATCATCACGCGTGGGCCTCCTCTTCTGCAGTCTGCCTGCACATGTAATTGACGTGCGTTGTTCTTGTCTTCAAGGTCTCCCTCTGCCGCGCGCCGCAGTCGTGCCGTACTCGCCCGAACCGACGTCCCCATCGTGGCATCAGCACGCGTCGCCATCGTCCCCGTCGTGATTGTGCATCACCTTCGCCGTTATCGCCGCGTGATGAGGCCTCGGTGTGCAGGCTGCTACGAAAGCCCCACCCCCCGCCGACGAACACCATCGTCGTCTCAGTCGTCGTCGTCCTCCTCCCGCGTGGCGTTCAGCTGTCTTCGGCATCATCATCGTCGTCGTCGTCGTCCTCGCACGCCGGAGGGCCTGTGCCCAACCATTCAAGCCCTCTTGCCTCGTCGGGTCCACTCAAACTCGCGTCATGGCCGAATTTCACCCCGCACTTAGCCCAGTCCGGGATGAAATTGGACGCGTGGCCCAATGTCAACTGCGCTTTCTTCAGTCGCTCGGTGGAGTACCTCGTCGCCATCGCCAGAGGAGTTCCTTTGCCGAAGGTCCCGAGAAGTGTAGCCTTGCCGAGGTCGAACGTCACGGTGACGAGGCTCACTGATTCCGCGCAGTTGCAGGGGGCGACTAATCGCGCGTCGAAATGCCAGAACGTGGTGATGCGTGTTCTGCACGGATGGGTCTTCAAGTCGGGAAGCAGGGAGAGGGGGTACACTCTCGCCTTCCAGTACCTCCTTGAATCGGTGGCCACGGACTTCGCGCGCGCGATGTGGCTCAGAGAGGACTGGAGCAACATCATCAGCCCCGCCATTTGCGCACACACTCTGGAGCTCAGGATAGACCTGCCTCTGTGGTATGCAGGTGCTTAAATGGAAGACAGGCCCCGGGATGACGACATGGCTGCTTATCAGGAAGCGGTTGTCAAGCGACTGATTGCTGCGTTCAATGCGGCGGTAGAAATAGGGAACGCGATGGATGGAGGATGCATAAGTCAGGACTGTTTGTCCCGTGTTACGGAGAGCTTCAAGGTCCTTTTGGCGGCTGTCATGTGGATAATGCAATTGGCGGGACAATGTTGTATAGCCTGCGGCCCTCCCCCGACGTCCAGAACGACTTGTCGTCCACCCATAGTTTCGCTCGATCAGCCAGCTCTTTGACCACTCCGCCTTTGCGGACCCTCATAACAAGCGGCTCGTCGTCCTCCGCCGCCTTTCTCTTCTTCGCGCGGGGGATCTCCAATGTCCTCGCCGCCTCCTCTGCCTTCCATTCACCCTCCTCCCGTTTCATGAGGTGTGCTCGCCGCTTCGCCGACGACCGCAGCGGCGCCGCGAACCTGCGCCTGAACTCCAAGCATGGCCGCATCTCCTACACCGACAAATCCTCGATCGCCGACTGCTTGTTGTACAGGTGGCGTCGCCGCACCGCCAGATCCTCGTTCGCCGAGTGCTTTTTGCGCACGTGGCGTCGCCGCAGATATCCCGGTTCCTGCTTCCTCGCGATGTCTCCCTTGCGGCGTCGTAACAAGTGTGATCTGGTCATGCTCCATTCGCGCCACCTCCTCCATAGCGGGGTATCCCGTCTCGTTCTTGCCTTCGCCGTCGTTTGGTCTTCCCCAACCGTCGCCGTCCAAGTGCGCGCCGCTGACAGAACTCGCATCCTGACATGATCGTTTCGTCCTCGTCGTGTGACGTCCCCCACCTGAACCGCCCGCCGTCTGTTCAGTGACTGCATCACGTTTTTTGCCACGAGCTTGACCGCTGCCTCCTCGCCTCGGAGCCATTACCTGCTACCGCGAAAGCTCAAGCGGGAAGATGCGGCGCCGTCCGTCGATTGCCGCACAAGGGCACAGCGATGGATACGAGTTAATGAACTCCAAGGTCGGCGTCCACGTGGCGGATCAAAGCGCAGGCTGCTTGACGCGAAAAGACGAACGTGACTCAACAACGACAACCGACGATCGAAGGCGCGGTGGACGAGAGCGCAGACGGTTGTGCCGCTTTCGGAATACGACGGGCCGTGGCGATGGCGAAGAGTTCTCTTATGACGACGACGCGCACAAAGCAGGCGGCGTGCACCAGCTGGCCTTAACTACAGCCCAACTTCTGCAGAATTACGGAGGGACTAACAAGAGCGGACTTAGGTGGCACGAATTTGGCGGGATTGATCGACGGCACACTGCGCAGACTGCGGTTAGCATTCGCGGGCTGGGTTAAATAATGTGTCCGTGCACCATGGCAATGCGCACCCGAACCCCTGAAACCCCCCCCCCATTAATTCGTGAGTGTTTCGTGCGGAATTCTGTCTATCCAACCAACCCAACAACAACCCTCCCCATGTGATCCGCCATGCATGGACCGACCCAACGCCTACCACAGCCCCACTGTGTTGCTACCTGCGGCGATCCCCCACGACGGCTCGCCCTGCAACAACGCATGCCTTCCGCGGCAGCCCTCCCCGAAAACCTTCAACAACATCCTCAACAAAGACATCAAACCCCGATAAATGGGGAAACAAAAAAATACAAATAAAAAAGAAAAAAAAAATCACTGACACTACACCTCGCCACCACGAAGGTCATCTGCGACGTGGACGGCTGTACATGGACAGCGGTCTCGAAAACGGGCTACGTCACTACAACTCGCCATCAAAGCACCCTCAGCTACTGCCGGCGACATTGCTTCAATCTTTGACGACCGTTATGCTCCAATCTGCCGATGATGATGACAGCGAATGAACATCATCGCATCGACGATCCGACGGCTTACATCGTAGAGCGACCACGGATGGCGGCAGCGATCTCCATCAAGGCATGGCACATCATCCTCTGCGTTTCATCGGACACCGCGTAGTGCTCTTTTTGAACTGCAACTTCCTGCTCTAGGATATCACACTGCCTCGTCAAAACGCTGCGTTGTCGCTTGCTGGAGGACTCCATTGTCGAGGACATCAGCGCGTCGTGCCGATCCATGACGTCGGCGATGGACTCCAGCGCCTGTTGTCGCGTGTTCTTCCGCTTCATGCTTCGGGCCCCGCTGTCTACATTGCTGTCGGACTCCCTCGGCGAAGAACGTTCTTCCGCCCATCCATCACCGACCGCCTCACTACCGACAGACTCCCCGCCGCCCGCTCCTCATCTCGGCAACTGTACGCCGTCCGGATTATCTGTGTCTACGATGTTGGGAGGGAAAATGGTGTGGTTTCCCAGCATGCCTCCATGGATCTCATTGTAGAGCGCTCTCTCCATCCAAAACTTGAAATTGTGGTCCTTCCTCTCTTCATTTGACAGCCTGAAGAAACTTGCCTCGCCGCTGGCATTCTGGAACCTTTGTATCTTCTTGTAGTTCAGGAATAGATTGTCCCACTTCTTCATGCAGTCATCGGCCTCTCTAGGACAGCCCGCGTTCGCCATCTGTTTCGCAATGTCCTCCCACTTCCAGTCTTTCGTTCGCATCCGACCGTAGTTGTGCCCAAGGCCTGCAAGGTGCATGTCCTGCTCCCGCTTGCAGCGCACCAGGAGCAGTTGATCGTCTGTGGACCAATACACCGCTGATTTCCCGGCATTGTCTTCATCGGCTACTCTGCTGCCACGCCCTGCAGATCGACCTCGACCACCACCTCTGTCGCGGCCTCTCCCCGTCCCACCCGCCTTCCCCAAAGGCCGGATAGGCGCATCGCTGTCGTCGTCAACGGCTTCGACGTCCTCCCTGTATCCATCGTCGGCATCGTCGCCAGCACCGTCATTCTCGTCGACACCATCGTTGTGTGCCCTCATGTTTGACACTCCCTCTGTTATGTTCTCCACCGTAGGCTGCGGACGCACCACCAGTCTGCAAGCGGGATCGCCTCTCAATTCATCATCGGGCGTGGGTGCAGTGTTGGGCATATTCGATCGCCCAACGCTGTTGCGGGCGGGCGCTGCCGCGACTCCGCTGATGCGTTCGGCTGCTGCAGATACCCCGCTGCGTGCGGGCAATGTCTTTCGTAGTGGATCGACGGGCGGCGTGCTCGCTCCACGCTGGCGCGTTGTCGATGACGGCCCGGCACGTGCAGTAAGGGAAGCACCGCCACGAAGTGTCGACTGTTCCGTGTGCTCGCCTCGCGGACGTTGCAGGGAACGTGGCGAAGGTTGGTCTTCGATGATGAATGTCCGGCTGGCCTCTCTCGCGCTGCCCGACGACAACCCGAACCTTGGATCAACTTCTCCGTCGTCGTCGCGGTCCAAGCCTGCTTCCAGGAGGGATCTGAACTCGCCGCCTTCCTTGCTGGCCGACCCTCCTGCTATCAGCGTCTGCGAAAACAACAACTGGGTCGATCCGCTGGCCAAAGACAACGTTCCCAGTTCCTCCGCCTCCACCTCCTCGTCTGATGGGGGCAGCGGCATCTCCCACGACTGCAGATGGCTGTACGCTGACGGATCGTAGCGTCGTTGGGCCGCCGCCGTCGACGGGAGACTTCCGCCCTGACCTGCCACTTGTGGCGCGCCTGCCTGCATGTTCGCCATCGGTCGGTCCGTGTGTGGCTTTCTCATTGATGCCCTCCGCTTCCGACGTGTGTTCCACGGCCGGCACGACAAACAGTTGTGGAGGAAGACGACAATCAGGAAGACGACAAACAGGAAGAGGACGATGACCAGCACCAGCAGAGGCAATCTACGCAGCACGTCTGCCATCTAACTCGCCTTCGGGTGCACCCCTCCGGCATGTCCACAAACGGCGAACTGGCGGGACCTTCATATCGCGACAAACGCCACAGAACGCTACAGAGGTGGACGCCGTGAATTCGAAAGTCGACCATTGGGGCCCGCGCACTGCCCGACTATGCGTACGACTGTCGTCCTGCGAGCGTCGTCATCCTCCTCCGCTGTGAGCTACGAATGCAACGGTCGACCACAGAAGCCCGCCTACCCTCGGTCCCCCCCGCCCCACCGCGGTGCACCTCCCCCCGCCAACGGCTACCGTTGGTGGCCGTTGGGCCCGTCGGCCTGCCGAATACCTCCGATGTCCGACCTCTGGACCAACGGCCAGGTTCTGCACCAGCACTTCCGAGAACACGGTGTGATGCGTGCGACGCCAAGACTCCGTGAAACGCGCGAATCCTAAAATTTTCAGTAGGTCGGGGGCTACTGGAAATTTTAGGACGATAATGGCTGGGGAATCCTAAATCTTTTAGGACTGGTCCTAACGTCGTTTTCACATTTTCGATCTCGAAAATGGATTTAGGATTGCGTGCAACCAAGACGCAATCCTAAGAACAGGAACTTTTAGGAGTGTCTAACGAGACCCAAACTCTTTCTCCACATGTTCCACTGCTTCTCCTAGATCAGAAACTTCTTTCCCAACATGGACTTCTCTTTGGAATAACTTCCGAAACACCCTCATGAGCTGAGGCGTTTGCCAAAATGCCCCTAAAGATGTGGGTAGAGCAGAAATTCAATGCCCTTTTTGAGCCGCATTCTTTTTTGTTTTTGTTATGCACCTGTCAGGCGACGGAATTTGCAATCTGGTCCTTTTGTTTAAGCCTCTGTCAGGTTGGTGCACAATTTGCAATCTGGACCTCGCAGTTGGGCCATGGTGGTCTCCCATTCAGGCCCTGGAAAATTTGGCAACGGCTGGAAGCACCAGGGCATTTTGCAAACTCGGAAGTTACCCAGTAGGGGCATTTTGCAAACTTGGTCTTTGTCTTTTCTCTTGCTGGTAAAACCAACTATTTTTGAATTGCCGGGGCCGGTCAGCTCAATGATGATATCCCTCTTCTTGTAAACTAAATAAATAAATAAATAAATAAATAAATAAATAAATGATGATATCCCAAGGTTGTCAAAGAGAGCAGCAATTAAACAGATAGCATTTAGCAAAAGGTCAGCGCCAAAGGCAAGGGAGGGGAGAGGTGGAGGACAAGGGAAGGAAGAAATAAGATCACATGAAGGTAAGAACGACACAAGATGAAAAGGAAATCAATCATAATTTTTTTTTATTTTTTTTTTCAATATATCAATCATATTCGCGAAAGCCACAAACTCGTAAAGATGACCTTCAGAAATATCTAGAACCATCATCTAGATTCGAACTTTGGTCTGCATTTCAACAGTTCATGGGTGTACCCACTGATCTACGCTCTTGGGTGTGGAGACGATCTTGAAAGTGAAAGTGCCGAGTCTCAGAAACCGTGGCGTGATCCTACGGGTTTCGGCTGGCCAGGGCCGTGAAAAAAAAAAAAAAAAAAAAAAAAAAAAAAAAAAAAACGTCTTGGGGGTACGAAGTGCCAGCAGTCTGCTGACACGCTGAACTTACTAGGGCATACTCACACGAGCACCTTTTTACTTGTTGTAGGACGGAATTGCGGCCAGGTGCATACAGGTCCTGCTGGTGTGAGCACTCCCTATGTATTTCTTCTCTGGCACAGATGGAGGTTCCTCGAAACGTTTGTTTTCTTTTATTATTTATTATTTATTATTTTTACTTTATTTATTTATTTATTTTTTCGTATGTTTTCTTTGCCCGGCTTATTTCTCTGAAAGGAATTGAGGACTGACACCTGGCCCTCCCAGCTTGAAATTCAACACTCATGCCTACCAGGGGCAAGATCCCACTAGCAAAAAGGATAGGATCGAGCTCCTGAATCTGGATGTGTTTTAAGCACAGATGCAGAAAAGCAGTTCAATCTTGATTTCCTGCACATCTCCATAAGCTCTTCCAGAATTAGGCATTCTATCCGATCCTCTTTGCTAGTGGGACCTCGCCCCAGGAGCAAGATCCCAATGGCTAATAGGATTCTATCAAGCGCCCTAATATACAGAACAGCAGACAAATCCTGATTTTCGGCACCACAGCAAAAACACGTCCAGATTCGTCCAGATTCAGACATGAAATCCGCGCGCCTTTGCTAGCAAGACCTCACCCCAGGTCCAAGCAAGCAAAGGCAGCCATATGCATTACGGCTGCAACTTTAACAACTCTGAAAGAGACATTGGGTCTCGCTCCACTACTGTCCACTGTACAAAAACGGACAGTGGTACTTCGCTCCACTTACTGTCCACTGTACATGTGCAAAATGGCTTGGACAGTTTTGAGAAACCTCGTCGGAAATCTACTGTCCGTGAATGTACAGCTCCCAGCCTGCAAAATTCGTTACGCGGAAAGTCCTTAAAGGGACTCACCGTGAGGACCCGAATTTGGACAGTGCACCTAGAGTCGGGGCGGACAAAATCCTGTGGACGCCCTGTCTTGTAGTTCTATCTCTGTGAACTCACGAGTTTGAGAGGTGGACAGCGGACAGTAAGTGGAGCGATGTCCCATTTTCCACTGTCCGCTGTACAATATTTCGCTCTGACAACTGTCCATCAACTGTCCGAAAAATTGTACAGTGGACAGTAGTGGAGCGAGACCCATTGGGCCTCGCTGCACAACTCTCGAAATGTGCAAAACGAGAGTCAATCTCTGCTAGAATATGGAAAAATACACCGCCAGGATTTTTGTCTTTTGTGCATGTCAAGAGTAGCGCAGCGAGGTCCATTGTTTTATATGGGAAATCTACAGCCAGGGGCACGGTCCCAACTGCGCATTTTCTTTGCAGGAGGCTAGTAGCACGAATATTTCACAAAACAAAAAAAGAAAAGAACGAGAATGGAGGGTCCCGGAGCCTAAGGACCACGGATTGACTAAATAGATGGTGGCACCTAAGGACCATGGATTGACAAAATAAATAAGATGTCCAAAAAAATAAAATAAAATAAAATGATGGTCCCTAGATGGCCGCCAGTAACTTCGTGGTAGCCTCCTATAACGAAAATGCACGTTGATGTAAGCCGTCGGCACGGGGCCCGTTCGAAATTAAATTCCATCTGGAATTAAAAATAAATAAATAAATAAAAAATGCACAGGTGGGACCTCCTACAACGAAAATGCACAGGTGGCACCGAGCCCCAGGTCTGGGTTACAGAATGAAAATGCATTCAAAACACCTTTTCCATGGGGCTAAGTCCCATTTACCCGAATGATCTATTTCCGACCGCAGATTTGGAAGATCTATCAACGACCAGAAATCGAGGATCAGCGTAAGTGGGACTTGGCCCCCTGTGCAGTCAGGTCAGGGCCCGAGTTTGAAATGCAATTGCCAGCTGGAACTTGGGCTTTGTAGAAAACAGCACTTTGGCTGAGGGCATACTCACACTGCTACCCCAAATCCGCAAAATATGGGGATTTGGGAAGGGCCAATTTGAGGTTTTGGGCGTGTTTACCGTCACACTGCTGTACCTTTTCAGATGGGAAAAGGTGGCGGCCCTCAGGAGAAATGCGGATTTGGTACTTGGCTGGTCACACGGCTCCCTGCACAAATTGCGCAAGAACTTTTGTGACCGAATTTTTGCTAAAATTTAAAGAAAACGCAAAAAAAAAGGGGGCATTTGCGGTCAAAATCCCTTGCCCCGCGGCTTCCCGGGCCGCTGACAAATAAGCACCCCAAGAGTACATTTGGTAGTTTGGTAGATCCGTGTGACCGGCCTTTTCCACTTTTCCAGACTGGGACGTGCTGTTTTCTGAAAACCCAAGTTTTAATTTTCAACTCCAAAATTTAATGTGGTCAGCCACGTGTTGGGGCCCAGTGGAGGCCGCGCAACATGGGCATTTGCTAAGAGGTCCGCTCCCATTTTGACTTCCACCATTCCATCTTCGTTCCTGGTGCTTCCCCGTAACATCTGGACAACCCGCTAATTACCACAAGATGGAGAGAGAGAGAGAGAGAGAGAGAGAGAGAGAGCGAGAGAGAGAGAGAGAGAGAGAGAGAGAGAGAGAGAGAGAGAGAGAGAGAGAG